GATCACATTCTAGGCCTATATATATATATATATATATATATATATATATATATATATATATATATATATATAAAATAATAATAATAATGGACTCTCCGTCGGTTTGGACGTATGAGGATCTGCCAGCTTATTGATTCAGTTATGAAAGTTTATGCGATAATCTTAAGTGGCATTTAAGACCCGCTAGTGATTTACAAAGGAGGCCACATATGTAGCAGGTGAGGTGTGAGAATTGTGAGATGAGATCACTGTTAGATTGGCTGACCTTTTAGATCTTGCTCTCGCTTCTTGAAGATAATTCAGACAAGCAGATTGAAAATTGCTGAGTCCACTAAAACACGTTGATCTCCATTCTACCCGCTCCAAAGCTAAGCGCTCATGTGGTATATTGACTGCTGACAAGTTGCTTTTCAGCTTGTCTTTTTGTATCTTAGCCATGGGCGTCCTACATTCCTGTAGCCCTGATCTAACTGGCTGTACATTAGGATCTTGGGTATCCTGTCATCAGACATTCTCAAGACATGACCAGTCCCGCGTAACTGAGACTGCATGATAAAAGTCTCGATTCCTCCAATATTACACCTGTTAAACAGGTCTACGTTAGATGTCCTATCTTGAAGCTTAACTCCACAGATTGCACGCAGACAGCTTTTATAGAAAACATCTAGCTGGCGTATATGGTACCTGTATGGAGTCCATGACTCTGAGCCGTACAAAAGGATGGCAAGTACAACAGCTCTGTAAACCCGAATTTTCGTATCCAGTCGAATACCCCGTTCATTCCACAAGCGATGGCGAAGTTTGCCGAAAGCACTGGTAGCCTTAGCAATCCGATGCATGATTTCATCATCTAAAATTCCACTGTAGTTGACTTTGCTACTAAGATAGTTGAAAGACTTTACATAGTCCAGGGCTTTGTCTTCTACTTTCAATGGTCTCTCTGGAAATTTGTAGACTGATGGTTTTTGTTTCTCACCACGCAATTGCTTCGGAGTAGGACAAGGTTGGTGCACAATTTTCTTTATGCTAAGTGTAAGACCAAATGCTTTACATGCAGCAGAGAAACGATTTATTAGATGTTAGATGTTGGGCCTCCTCAAAAGATGTCGCTACAAGAGCCGCATTATCAGCAAACAACAAATCACGAATAATTTGCATACGAAGGTGGGTCTTGTCTTTGAAGCGCTGATGATTGAAGAGACCACCAGTTGTTCTAAACTGAAACTTGACGCCACTCTCTGTGTCTGCAAATGCATATTTCAGCATCACCGAGAAGAAAAGGGCAAAAAGGACAGGGGCCACGACACAACCTTGCTTGTTGCCATTTGTGACATTAAAGGATTCCGACATCATACCATCCAACACGATATTAGCTTTCATTCCTTCATGAAAGGGATGATGACCTTTAGCATGTTTTCAGAGATGCCGAGTTTCCTCAAGACTTGCCAAAGAGCCTCTCGATTCACAGTGTCAAAGGCCTTCGTCAAGTCCACAAACATCATGTATAACTCCTGGTTTTTCTCGCGAACCTTCTCTTCAACTTGACGAAGAGAAAATATCATGTCAATGGTTCCCCGACCCGACCGAAAACCACACTGCGATTCAGGATAGATGTCGTCAACAAGGTGTATAATGATTCTGTTTAGAATCAGTCTAGCTAGGATTTTGCCTGCAATTGAAAGTAGTCATCCCCCGATGATTATCACAGACACACATGGAACCCTTGTTTTTGTAGAGCTTATACACTTCGGGTGGAATAGGATCCTTAGGACCAGGTGATTTTCCAGATGAGATTTGCTTGATGGAGTCAATTACCTCTTGATATATATATATATATATATATATATATATATATATATATATATATATATATATATATATAAACACACACACCACCAACAGCACAAAACTTCCTGACGGATACACTTTGGTGAGATTTAAACCAGTCAGTAAGTGAATGGTCTAATCATTAGAGGATGGAAACACATAAATTTGAAGATAATCTGCGTGATGACTACATTTGAAACAGCCAGTCGATTTTAGAATTAATACCTATAAAAAATTAAATAAGGCCTATAAAAAAATGCAGTGAATGCAAATAGAGGAAATAAAAAAACACCTAACTGAAGTTATTTACCTGATTTTTTGATGAGAAATACAGATTTTCTTTGATTTTATTTAAACTTTCGTTTTCTGATGGTAGAATGTTTCCATTGCTCACATATGATTGAATTCCTTTGTCTACATCATGGCATTTCGTCTTCAGTCACTTTCTCACTGACGTTACGTGGCGTCTCTCTGTCTTTTCTAGAAATATTTTCATGGCGACTGTTCTGATGAGCTTTTCCCCTTAGCCCCTCGACTGAATGCATTTAAACGTGCTACTTGATTGGTAATTAGGTCTCACCGTTTTACAGTTGAACTCGCTAGATGCAACCGTATGTTCTATTCTAATAATTTGTTTTCTTTCACTTCTTACCTGGGAATTAACTTCCGGTCTCCTGTTTCCTGTTTTTCTGCCCCATACAATCTTCAAAAATTTAAATGTAACATCAATTGCCATCGACTGTGTTTCTGAATCCTGTTCTTTTATTGTCCTTTCTTCTCACTAAAGATTTCTTATTCTCTTTTATTCCTAGTAACCCCATGAGTCCTAGTAGCATCATCGTATTGCCTGGAGGGAAATAATAATAATAATAATAATAAAAGCCTTTGAGAATGTTCCACATTCTTGGATCCTTAAGACTTTGGAAATGTACAAAGTCTCCCCTGTGGTATTAAATTTCCTTAAGCACAACATGGGAATGTGGAACACCAAACTATACCTTAGTCACACCGGGGGCACTGCCATATCCAACCGTCTGAATATCCGATGTGGGATCTTTCAAGGAGATTCTCTGTCACCCATTCTGTTTTGTTTATCCTTAATCCCTCTTACACATGAACTGAACAACAGTAGCTATGGTTACAAAATAAATAAGAAAATATTCATTAACCTACTCTACATGGATGATCTCAAACTCTTTGCCAAAGACGACAATGAGTTGAAAGGCCTCCTCAATATTGTAAAATACTTCAGTGACGATATAGGTATGGACTTCGGATTAGATAAATGTGCAAAAGTAACATTCAAGAAAGGTAGAATTACAGAAACACCCTTAATAGATTTAGATTTTGTCACAAAGATTAGGGAACTGGAGCATGATGAAGCTTATAAGTACCTAGGAATTAGCGAAGGAGATGGCATACAACACCCCAAAATGAAGGAAAAAATAAGAAAAGAGTACTACAGGCGTGTACGTCTGGTACTAAATACTGAGCTAAACTCAAAAAAGAGAATATCGGCCATAAACACATTGGCTGTCTCTGTGGTGCAATACAGCTTTAATGTCCGTAACTGGACCATAGCTGAAATTAAGCAAATGGACGCCAAAACGAGAAAGCTTTTCACTTGCTATCGCATGCATCATCCCAAAGCTAATGTTGATCGTCTGTATGTGCCCAGATCCGAAGGAGGCAGAGGATTAGTTCAACTAGAACTGTCCTACAAAACCACAACAATTGACCTCCAAAGATACTTGGAAACTACAGAAGGCTGGATGATGGTATGCATCAAGGAACATGAAAGTAGTAAGCGTCTTTACTCCGTAATAAAAGAAGCCAACAAATTCAAAATGGAGTTTCAAATGGGCGTAGAGATGCAACTACAGCACAATACACCGGCTGAAACTGCAAAATACTTAAAAAAAGACAGCAAAGACGAATGCAACCGACTAGATACAGAAGCGATGGCAAGATAAACCGCTTCATGGCCAATACTCTGCCCGTACCAAACAAGCTGACATAGACAAAACCCGTATCCATCAGTGGCTACGTAGTGCAGGGTTGAAAGCTGAAACTGAAGGTTTTATCCTGGCTGCACAGGACCAATGCTTGCTAACTAGGAATTATCAAGCACATATACTAAAATATTGTGTCAGCCCAAAATGCAGATTCTGTGATAAATATCCAGAAACGATTGCTCATCTTGTATTAGGTTGCACGATATTGGCACCCACTGAATATAAAACCCGGCATGACAGAGTGGGCCAATATCTGCACTGGAAAATCTGCAACTTCTACGGGATGAAAACTGAAAGAAAATGGTATGAACACCACCCAGACCCGGTTACGGAGATAGGACCTGTTACAATTCTATGGGACTACACAATACACACTGACAGAACAATCAAAGCCAACCGCCCAGATATTGTTATTAAAGATCACAAACAAAAACGGTGCCTCCTTGTTGATATGGCAGTCCCTGCTGACTGCAATGTATCTTTGAATATATTCAAAAAGCTGGACCTTGAAATAGAAAATCTCGAAAATGTGGCATATGGGAACATCAACAATCCCTGTTGTAGTTGGGGCCCTAGGACTGGTTGGAAAAGATTCCAGTAGACGAATTGAAGGGATTCCTGGAAGTTCATGCCTCAAAGAGATACAAAAAATTGTTCTGACAAGTACAGTACAAGTAATCTATGTAATTTTTTTTTTTTTTGTCAGTGGAAAGTGTCATGATGCCATTTCTAACGTTAGGTCTCTGGGCGGTATCCGGAAAGAAATGTGTACACGCCAGAAATCAAAGGAAATAATAATAATAATAATAATAATAAGTACCAGGATGCACAGGCCTTGCTGAGAAAGAATACATTATAAGATATGACAGATTATATTCATTGGCATATATGTTTGAACTATGGCATTGAAGATTCATCGTACATGGTAGAAATACCACTCGAATGATGTAACAAATGGTGATGTATTGACTATATTACTGGATTTCCTAATCCTCACAGACAGGAAAATTGATGCAAATAAACCAGACATAGTCATAGATGTAGCGATGGCGGCAAGGTCGAAGCGGAAGGACCAGACGGAATGCAACCAACCACCGAAGACTCTCAGCAAGCAAACCGGCGAAAGAGGGCAGCACCAGTCGGTCTGGTGTATCCAAGGCGGAGCTTCACAGACCAAGCACCGACAGCTACCTCTCCGTCTTTTTTCTTCTTTCTTTCTTTCTTTCTTTTTCTTTTTCTTTGTGAGTTGTTTCTGTCCATCTCAGTCAATTTCTGTCCATCTCATCTATCTTCTATCTATCTATCTATCTATCTATCTATCTATTCAGTCTGTTCCAATCCCTCTCCTCTCTACCCCCATATATATATATATATATATATATATATATATATATATATATGTGTGTGTGTGTGTGTGTGTATATATATATATATATATATATATATATATATATATATATATACACCGACTCAGACAGGAAGGATATTTGCCAACTAAGCAAGGCTGAATAATGCCTTTTAAGCGAAATGCTTCTCGTCATAGATACTCGAAATATCTGCTTAGATTCGTATGCAATCGGGAAGAAAGCAATTAATAAAGAAGTAATGGAATTTATAACTTATTAACACGACAGATTTTTAGCACTTAAACGTTATTTTTAATAGAAAGACCAATTTTAGTAAACGCTGAACTTTTCTTTTATTTTTAGACTGCTTCGCCTGAATATTCGAGAAAACTTATTAACGAAAAATGTGCGCCCTTCAGTATCATCGGCAATGACCTACGTGGCTGAGTCGGTATAAATACGTCGGATCTGACGACATTTTCTTCTGTCAAGGGGAACGCAAGTTAGTATACTGTCGGAGTGCATATACATATATATATATATATATATATATATAGTACCAAATTGTAACTGGTAGGGATAATTCAAAGGAGGATATTAATCCAAAGAAATTTAAATTACAGAGTATTATAATAAGTCAAGAAAAACCCTTAAAGATCCATTTTTGTTGAGCTCTCTGGGGGGGGGGAGTGTGGGTTTTTTAAAAAGTGACTATTATGGCTTATAATGCAAGACTCTTCGGTAAATTGAATCGAGTTCTTTCAGTCACTGTGTGTTTATCTAACAAACAAATACCCTTGAATTCACCTTGATCCCTACCGTAGGCCAATGGCTTAGTGGTAGAATCCCTGACTGGCCCTAATTCAGTCGGGTTTCAATCCTAGCTAGAGGCAACCGGATGTCTAGCCACACTGATAAGCAGTGATACAGTTAAACAGTCTGTCTGTGGATGACAATATATGTATATAAATATATAAATGAAGAAAAACACCTTAAAGATCCATTTCGATTTTAATATATATATATATAGTAAAATCGAAATGGATCTTAATATATATATATAGGGGAAAGAAAAGGTGGAGTAAAAATCTGCAGTTAGTAGCATTTATTTTTTTAAAAGTGCTCAATACAAATTAGAGCAAAATATTATTATTATTATTATTATCATCATATTTTTATTATAATTACACTAAAAACCTTTTACACCTCTACACAAAAACATTCATGTTTTAGTATTAAGATAATACTTCTTCAAGCTATGGTAGATAACTAATGATAAAAATGATTTATTAGGGACATTGAATAAAACAAATCTCTACCTCTTTTCGTAATTCAAAGGAGCGGGGAATAAGATCAGAATTAAAAATATACTTATGGGTATGTCTAGATTAATCGACATGCAACCGTGTAGCGTTTTTTGATGCAATACCCTAAAATAAAAAAAAAATATTGTTCTATTTTGTTATTGAGCCCTCTTTTAAATTAAATGTTACGACGTTGAAATTGTACTCTGTTTACTCCTGGATATATATATATATATATATATATATATATATATATATATATATATATATATGAAGAAATATAGTTTTAAGGTGTGCTATATTTATGGGATAAAGTGCTCAATATCAGACATAGAGCGTATATAAATATAAATATAAAAGTGAAAATTGAAGTCAACACTCAGAGGCAACAAGCTGTTTCATGCTAGACGCAATCGTCAGGCCGCGAGTGTTGGATTTTTTCTCGACTATTTATATATATGGGTCAGTAGGGCAATGTTGGTAATCCATTCTGGCGGTTATTTTAGCGGAAGTGGCTTGTTTATTTATTTATTAGGGTTAATTTATTTTACCTGTTTTTTATTTTCAATTTTATTTTATATATTTATTCTTTTTGGTTTTCGATGTTTTATTAATGTAGTAAAAAATTGGGGGGATTTGCTTAGGTCGCTTATTTAAAAGTTGATTTTGGTCTGGGGAGATAATTAAAGCTATATATTCGTACAATGTTTTGATTGCTTGCCATAGTCTATTCTGTTATTTTGGCTGGGGACAGTTTTTAATTTGTTTATTATTTTATTTATTTATTTGGATTGTTTGTTTTACTTTTTGTTTATGTATGTTTATTGTTATTAGTTCTAACGGTTATTTTAGCGCGAGACATTTGTTAATTTGTTCATTTATTTATTTATTTGGATTAATTTTTACTTGTTTTTCTTATTTATTTACTTATTTTTTTAATTTTTAATTTTGTATATTTTTATTTACTCTATTCGGTTTTCGATTTTTGAGTAACGTAGTGAATTTTTTTTACAGAGTTACACTGTAAAAATCATCTATCTATCTAGCTAGCTAGCAAACAAGGCGGGAAGTCCCTAGCACGCAAGGGGTTACAGAGAATTGGAGCGAGAGCAAAGAGAATCGATAAAGGAAAAGATGAAGAGAAGGATAGGGGATAGATCAAGGCAACTGGAGACGTCGATTGACATTACATTTGAATAGTTGGAGATTATAGCTATCAGGGAAACAAGAAATGGGGCGGGAGTTCCACAGGCGAGAGGTGTGAGACATGAAGCTATTGGAGTATAAGAGACGGCTACATTTAACAGTTTCGACAGTGAAAGGGTGAGAGCGAGACGCCAGCCTAGTTGAACGCTTAAATTCATGAAGTCTGGGAACCAGAAAGCAGCTCATCGGAGCAGTTACCGTGAAAGTATTTGTGAAAAAAGACAGAGGGAGGCGACGGCACGTCTGTGAGAGAGAGACTGTAGACGAGATGCCAGAACAGGGCCAATTACATTGCATATCTATCTCTGGATTTTATCAAGGACTTTGAGACAAATAGAAGGGGCTCCAGACCATATATGGCAGCAATACTCCATGCAAGGGCGAATGGTTGATTTGTAGACTTGAAGGATCGACTCTGGCGGGAAAAATTTCCTGGCGCGGCACAGGGAGTCGACTTTTCTTGCGGTGGACGGAGCTATTGACTCAATGTATTTGCTCCGAAGCTATTGACTCACTCTATCTATCTATCTATCTATCTATGAAGAAATATACTCTTAAGGTGTGCTATATTTATGGGATAAAGTGCTCAATATCAGAGATAGAGCGTGTGTAAATATAAAAGTGAACATTGAAGTCATACTAGACGCAATCGTCAGGCCTGTTGATTGCGTCTAGGATGAAACAGCCCGTCGCCTCTAAGCGTTGACTTCAATTTTCACTTTGATATATATATATATATATATATATATATAAATGTTTTGTGCACCAAAATCCAATCAGCCATCTCCGCTACCGTCACCAGGAGAGAGAAAGGATATAGGGAGGGAGGTTGACTATCCCGATGCTCGGACATGAGCCGGTACTGACCAGTACCGGCCCAGTCATAAAAGATTTCAAGAAAGGATCCTGCCATCTAATTAATATGATTTTTTTTTTTTAAAATAGAAGAATTTCGAAAAACTGTCAAATTATAAGGACCTGCAAATCTACGTAAAAGAAACATGGGTACTTAGGGGTATACCCGCTGTGATAGGGGCGTTGTCTATGATAAAGAAGGGTACCGAAAATCACATGAGAAAAAATTCCTGGACACATCAACATCCCAGAGCTAGAAAAGATTACTTTGTACGAAACTGCAAATTAGGGCAGGTTGCATAAAAATGGCAGCAGGCGTACGCACGCGCGGCCGACTCTCAGAGAATGGTTCGACACGCGAGGTAGCGAATTCGTTTTGCTCCTGGTAAGTCACTGTCACGTCTATTACACTTCCCCTGATCGTATGATCACATAAGTGACAGTGAGGGGGCTGGTCGTTTCACCCTTGCACTCCATGTCTTCCTCTCCGGCTGAATCGTCAGATGTGTCCTGGTCTGAATCATATTCCGGGGCATTAATAAGGGTCAAGTCTACTTCTTCCTCGCTCTCAGACGGGGTGTCGCTGCTGCTTGCACTGAAGCTTGGTTCTTGCCATTCATGACTCCCTGACGTTGTGTCACCGCCATCATCCGCTGGTAACAATGAAGTGAGCCGTGGACGTACATCTCCCACGTGCCGCGGTATCCCGTCGATGACTACCGACTGCGGACTGTTTATCCCCGTGACACGACCTTTCACAAACTTTGACGTGCAGCGTCCGTGCGGATATTTTTTACCTAGACTGCGTCTCCTTTATACCGAGTCGAAGTCGCCTGGTTAGGCGACGGGCACAACGTCAATTCCTTTTACTCGAATTTTGTACGAATGCAGCAGATTGGCGGGCGCAGAAGAGGCAGACACGTCATCCCTGGGTGTGATGTTATACCAATATACGGCCTCCATAATAGGCCAGCTCTTTCGCGCAGCAATCCGTTTGATTGTCCGATGACACCTCTCTACAATACCATTTCCAAATGGTTTGTACGCGCAGCGCGGTCGGAATCGGACGCCCCATTCTTCCGTGAATTGTTTGAATTGCTGACTGCGGAATGCAGTGTCATTATCAGCCAGGATCTCCACTGGGGCACCACGTTCGAAAAACACCGACTCCAATTGCCGGATTACGTGTGCAGCGTCTTGCCGAACTAGCGGCCGCCAGATCGAAAACCGTGTGGGGCCGCAATCGATCAGAGTCAAAAAATGGCGACCGTTATAGTGCGTGATGTCCATGCCTAGACGGCTCCAAGTTTCACGCACACTGAGCTCTCCCTTCTGCCATCGCACAGAAGCTGGATCTATTGACCGACACTGTTCACAACTTCGAACGACCGATCTTACTACTGCTTTCGACACGGACGGGTTGATCCTACGTGCGAAATACAGTGTCCGTTTAACTCCAGGGTGCCTGCTGTGTCGATGAATCTCAATTAACTGAGCAAGGCTCGGGTTTCCTACAGCAAAAGCACATACTGGTTGAACAAGTTCGAGTTCCTTCACATTGTTGAACCACCTCTGGGGAACTCTAGTCAGCAAGTCAGCTCGGTTCTGGTCGGATCTAAC